CAGTGGGACTATATTATAGATAACTGTTCTGTCCCACTCATTTGTTCATTTAGTAACTTACCTGTATTCCTGAAGAATCTGTATATTTCTCTCATTTTTTAGGTGTGTGATAATTAATATGGTAGATTCACCATTTTAATTTTATATTTTTGTTTGTGCTTACCAACAGTTTCATTGATCATTTTTGTACATGTATCTGGCTCCAGTAACTTGTATTATCTTATTAACTGACAAGCTCATTTTCTCTTGCCTATAACTTTCAATTCAATCTTTATTTTCTTTTAGAACTATGAGAATAGTGTGTACAGTGTAATCTCATTTGTGTACATTACATATGCACACACATAGAACAAGTATGTGTGTCAGTTTTCTGGAAGGATATATAAGATACAATTAACTGTGATTATCTTTGGATAGAGGGACCTAATAACAGAATCAGAGGGTGGTAGAGACTATTTTTATGTATGTTTCTGTTTTTCTTATATGGTGATTTTTTAAAAAGTAAAAATGAAATTTAAAAGTTATGGTCTATGTTCAGAAGAAGCTGTGTGGTTGGGTAGATAGGGCATTTTTTTTTTTTTAAAGCAAAAATACATCGTTAATGTGGTATTTGCCACTTTTTAAGCACTTAAAAAATTCATAAAAGAGAGTGAAAACTTATGGAGCTTTTACGTGAAAATCAAAGCAGTTTAGTAGATGAGTTGTATTATAAGCATATTGTTACCCTTTTATTTCCATAAAAATCTGTTTTTAGTAAAACTTGTAAAACAAAATACTGAAATATGTCATCCATATGAGTTAGGGCTAAGCTGAAAGCAGAGCTTATCCTCTTTCTCTTACTAAGTCTGCCAGAATTCTTTTCAGTTCTTGGAACATGAATCTTTCTGTCACTGGACATGTTCACCTTCTACATTCCTCTCCTCATGTGCCATACCTTACTTTGGACAGCTGGTGCGCTTAGTCCATGGGGTTGCAGAGAGTTGGACACGACTTAGCAACTGAACCACAGCAACCTGGGTAGGCCTGGAGTAGCCTCCCAGTTGATAGTTCTCATTCCCAAGCCGTTTATCTCCTTGGATTTCTACATGACTTATGGGACCTCCTCATTGGGAATACCGTCTTTAGGCATTTATTGTCTTTATAATGACTGAGATTATGTTTAGGAATTTAGCTCATATTTTCTGTCTCTTCTGGATCAAAATTTGCTTTCATAAGAATTTTTTTAACTTTGAAGACAAATTTGCATACTTTCTTAGAATTTGTTGCTTACAACTCACACTGGTAGGCTGCTCACATTTTGATACCTCTAATCTTAGCAGACGTTTCAGTATTACGGAAATCTACAGTTCTACCAATCTAGTGCTTGTGTTCTGAGATGTTGTGAAAGGCAATAGAACAATGTGTATAGGGATGAAACCACAAGAAAGCCTGAGCAAAATGGGGCTGGTGGAATTGCTGCACATCTATCAGTGTTACAAGTCATGCCATCTCATGAGAATTTGCTTTACAAAGTAGAGAAGAATTTCTACTGCTAAAACAGAAGTTTTAATGAATCTCTTTCCCCTCAGTTCAGTCGCTAAGTCCTGTCTGATTCTTTGCAACCCCATGGACTGCAGCATGCCAGGCTTCCCTGTCCATCACCAACTCCTGGAGCCTGCTCAAACTCATGTCTATCATGTCAGTGATGCCATCCAACCACCGCTGTCATCCCCATCTCCTCCTGCCCTCAGTCTTTCCCAGCATCAGGGTCTTTTCCAGTGAGTCAGTTCTTAGCATCAGATGGCCAAAGTGTTGGAGTTTCAGTTTCAGCATCAGTCATTCCAATGAATATTCAGGAACTGATTTCCTTTAGGATTTACTGGTTTGATCACCTTTCAGTCCAAGGGATCCCCAAAAGTCTTCTCCCACACCACAGTTCAAAAGTGTCAATTCTTTGGTGCTCAGCTTTCTTTAGAGTCCAACTCTCACATCCATCCATGGCTACTGGAAAAACCATAACTTTGACTAGATGGACATTTGTTGGTAGAGTAATGTCTCTGCTTTTTAATATGCTGTCTAGGTTGGTCATAGCTTTTCTTCCAAGGAGCAAGCGTGTTTTAATTTCATGGCTGCACTCACTATCTGCAGTGATTTTGGAGCGTAAGAAAATAAAAGTCTGTCACTGTTTTCATTTTCTCCCCATCTGTTTTCCATGAAGTGATAGGACCATATGCCATGATCTTCATTTTTTGAATGTTGAGTTTTAGGCCAGCTTTTTCATTCTTCTCTTTCACTTTCATTAAGAAGCTCTTTAGTTCCTCTTCATTTTCTGCCATAAGGATGGTGTCATCTGCATATCTGAGGTTATTGATATTTCTCCCTGCCATGACTTTTCTTTCTGAACACTTTTTACACATACAGTACCTATTAGCTATTATAAAGTGATTTTATCACCTAGTTACCTTCTTGACCTTTAAGTGGATTTTCATAGATTAAGACTAGAAAGTAATTTGCTGTACTTATTATGAATAAATTATTTTTTATTTCATTTATTATTGTTAACAGAAGAAAACAAAGTATTGGACTTGGATCACTCAGATTTAGGTTTGAGTCATTAATTTGCTATATATTAGCTTATGTATCTTGAGTAAGCTGGTTTATTCTGTCACTGTAACAGGTTAATGTGAGAATTAAATCAGATACTGCAAGTCCAGCAGCATCAAAACAGAGTTTTAATAAACGGTATCTAGTAACAGAAAGGATAGTAGTCGAAGTGATGATATTTAGTACTATTTTTTAAAGCTTCTATAGCTTCTGGTTTTATTTATTTTGTTAAGGAAGAATAATTTCTAGAATTTTTCAGAATTGGAGTGTGAAGTGTCCAACTTTCCAAAATGAAGCATTAGTAAATAATGATAAGATATTTTAAAAATCATGAATATATCTGCATGAAATCCTAAAAGAATGAAAATTGAATAGCTTAATTCTGTATTTAACTTTTTTAAAGTTTTGTTTAAAAGAAAACCTGCAAGGTCCCGTGCTACAGCACTGTCATTAATTTGTTCAGTCCTTTGGTTACTTTTGGGGGGCTTTTGTTTTTTTTGCTTTTGTTTTCCGGTTGTTGCGGATAGGGGCCGTGTCTGTTGTGGGGGGCGCAGCGCTCGCGTGTTAGAGTCAGTGTTTACACCTGTCTGACTTCACAGTCTCCATTCCTGATGCTGCCACATTAGTTTAAAATGTGTATTACAGCACAGTATACTGCTCTTTGGCACCACTTCAGCTTTGAATTGGTGATTTTTGATTCAGTAAATTCCTTATGATAGAACACCTGGGTTATAGTTTTTCTCCCCAATGGAAAGTGATATTTTTGTCATTGTAATGTTTTTGATCATGAAAAATCTGAGTAATTAGGTTAATAGAGAGAGCTTTGGGGTAAAAGTATTATTGAAAGTGAAAGTCGCTCAGTCATGTCCGACTGTTTGTGACCCCATGGACTATATATTCTCCTAGCTAGAATACTGGAGTGGGTAGCCTTTCCCTTCTCCAGGGGATTGTCCCTGAGATCAGACCCAGGTCTCCCACACTGCAGGAGGATTCTTTACCAGCTAAGCTACAAGGGAAGCCCAACAATACTGGAGTGGGTAGCCTATCCTTTCTCCAGTGGATCTTCCTGACCCAGGAATCGAACCAGGGTCTCCTGCATTGCAGGTGGACTCTTTATCAGCTGAGGTATCAGAGAAGCCCTAAAGTATTATTAAAGTACCTACAATATAAAGAAACCACCACTTGCTATAATATAACAAAAGCGCCACTTCCCAGGTGGTGCTGTGCTATGCTATGCTAGAAAGAAAAGTAAGTGAAGTCGCTCAGTCATGTCAGATTCTTTGCGACCCCGTGGACTGTAACCTACCAGGCTCCTCCATCCATGGGATTTTCCAGGCAAGAGTACTGGAGTGAGTTGCCATTTCCTTCTCAGGGGTTCTTCCTGACCCAGGGATTGAACCCCGGTCTTCTGCATTACAAGCAGACTCTTCACCATCTGAGCCACCAGGAACTCAGAAAGGGCATGTTGCCTCCCCGTCAGAGAATCAAATCCCAGTCTCCCACATGACAGGTGGGAATACTCAGCACTGTGCTAACGAGGATGCTACGTCACTTCAGTCTTGTCTGCCTCTGTGCAACCCTCGGGACTGTAGCGCGCCAGGCTCCTCTCTTCATGGGATTCTCCAGGCAAGGATACTGGAGTGGGTTACCATGCCCTTCTCCAGAGGAATCTTCTCAGTCTAGGGATCAAACCTGCATCACTTGTATCTCCTTCATTGGCAGGCAGGTTCTTTACCACTAGTGCCAAATAATCTGCCTGCCAATGCAGGAGACAGGAGAGATGGTGGTTTGATACCTAGGTCTGAAAGATCCCCTGGAGTAGGAAATGGCACCCCACTCCAGTATTCTTGCCTGGAAAATTCCATGGACAGAGGAGCCTGGTGGGCTACAGTCCATGGGTTTGCAAAGAGTCAGACATGACTGAGCAACTGAGCACAATAAAAAAAAAAATTACTTCATTTTAAATCTAGCGCTAGTAGTAAGGCCACATAGCCTTATTAAGTATCTTGAGCATAAAACAACTTTATAATTATTGATGAAGAATCTGGTATAAAAGGCCCCAATAGGTCATTTTTTTAGCTTTAATTTTGATACTATAATCATGATAGCTAATGTTTATAGATTATTTATTTTGGGGACACGTCCATGGTGGTTGACCTCACTTAATCTTCTCAACAGTGTAGGAAGGAGATATTATTATTATCCCTGTTTTACAGCTCATTAAACTAAGATTTAAAGAGGTTTGTATAATTACCTAAGGCTTCACAGCAGTGACATAAGTATATTAGGAACTCTCACTCCAAATTATTTTTATTTACAGCTCATAAAACAGACACAGCAGTATTTGAAAGAAAAATTACTGGAATCATGAAACGTAGTGAGTTTTCTTTACGGGTGTGTATTATATCTTCCTTTAGGTTCACAATATTCTTGCAGAAATGGTGATGGGGGGAATGGTATTGGAGACCAACATGAATGAGATTGTTACACAGATTGATGCACAGAATAAACTGGAGAAATCTGAGGTAAGAATGGAAAGCGCTCTCGTTAATGAAGGGAGTGAGCATGATCGTGAGTGACGCATGACTTGTAGCTTTCACTGCTTGTCCTTCAGGATCACCCATTAGTACAGCTGGTCGGCGTATTCGGTTTTGAAAATGAATGGAATATACACATTTTAGTATGTTAAATGTTCTGTGACCTCTATCCACCAAATAGTTTTGTGTATTCTTTTAGCCACAGTCATAACTGCTTTGAGTAATAAATAAAATTCCCAATTCTTACTGCTTAAAAAAGAAGTTATTTACTTGAATAGTGGAATCAGTATTTGTTATGTTCTTAGTCATTAATTATCCAAGAAATCTTAGAACTGGTTTTCAAAGATATGTGAACTTAATGTTTTATAAAACTTTCTGAAAAAGGAAAGGAGAGAAAACAGAATTCTCATAAGGAAATGATATTAATAATAGATGCTTAGTAGGCTTGAATGCACATTGAAAAAAAAGCAACTCAGCCCACTCATCTTTTATTTCTGGATCCTTGTCAAAAGTCATTGACACGTTAGCTAAATCATAAATATTTCCTACAATGACCCATGTAGTCATGGCTTTCGTTGCATTCTAGGAGAGCAAGATGTGGTGATACGAGCTAACTGTGCTGTTAGTTTGAGGGAATGAGGACCGACCAGCACTCTAGACTTGTGTAAAGCTCTGCTCTGCACATGTACTTTAAGCATGCTGCTTCCCTCAAAACAAGGCCAAATATAACAGGTGCTGAAGCTGAACCACTCAAGTGGGCATTATTTTAGTGATTTCTTACTGCTGTAGAAGAAATTTAGAAAGATGAATAGTCTTGATACCTCATTCAGCACTATCCATGTTTGAGGATACCCTTACCTTTGATATTTATAGTCATAACTCAGAGTAGAAAACTAATTTTATTTATAATTATTAGTACAGGTGTTCAGATGATCTAATGTAAATATTACTATAAAAGCAGAGAGATATTAAAAATATGCTAGCATTGATTTACAACAGGTGAGTTGTGAAGAATTTTTATCTTGTTGGCTCTTTAAAGGATCAGCTTAACAAAATGCTGTGCTTATTGTAATTAAATGAAATACAGGATGGTGGATAAATCTGAAATCAGAGTTAGAAATAGTTGAAGTTTTGTATAAAAGCCTTTTCCAATGTTCTACTTTAAATTAAAATAAGTCCTACATTCCTCCTTATCTCAGTTTATCATCCTTCTTGGTTTCCTAAAGAAGGGGCTTGAAATGGGGAAGAACTTAAAATTATGACTCTTATAAGTAATTGTATATATTTTATATATTCTACAACCAGTTTTTAAAATACTGGTTTTTGAAAAGGGAAAACAAACTAGATTAATAGAGAAAATTTCATTTTAGGACAAGGAAAAGGGCTGAGACTGTTTAGTAGAGTTGGCTTGTAATGGATTTATCAATATGGCAAAAGATTTACTATAAGCTCTAAGCTATAGTTTTTAAGGTCTTAAAATGATAATTTATGTAATCTGTTAAATCTTGCTTTGCAAAATTGTATGGATATAGATTTTAAATGCTAAGAGACAGACAGTGATACAGTCCCTTAATAATTAGTCCAAAATGAGTGGATATGTGGTAATTTATAAATGCTGTGTAATCATCTCTCAGAACATATCAACCTCTTGTCTGGAATTTCTGCCTTTCCAGGTATTTAATTCCTTTCCGTTGGTGGTGCCCTTCACCCCTTTTCCTCCTTAGTTTCCTATCTGTAATATTGATAGAAGTCGTGAGAGACCTATAATTATTCCATGATGGATATTTGCTTTTTGATTGTCCAGTAAAACTTTGTTAATAAGCTAATTTTTCTTATCCGTAAAGAGCAGTAAAATATAGAATTGATGTTTTCAGTGGAAATAGTTATAAGAATATTACAACTTTAAAAATGTCCTTTCACCGAAACAGTGCTATTAAAACTGGTCTTGAATCCTAGGGAATGAATACTTCTGTTTTTCATCCACTGATCATTTTTTAACATGTTTAATCAATTGTTGTCTATTGCCGAATTAGTTTTTTTTTTTTCTTCTTTACAGAGAAGTATGTTTTAAATCTGATGGGATAAACTGTTATATGTTTATCAAGCATTTCCCTATATGTGATGTCTGCTAATATTTTACTCACAAGATAGAATTTTGAGTCATAGTGAAGCTATAATTTAGTTCTGATCACATTTTAAGAAATTGTGTTGAAGCAACATTGACTTTGTGTAATTTTCCAGTAATTTTCGTATATGTTAAATATGTTTGGAAGGCTGCCAGCTTTATTCCAGACACAGGGAAATGTTAAAGATTTTCATATGGGTTTCATTTCAATATTATTTAAGTTGGTTATATCTACCAAATATATGACTGCAGAATAATCCAAAATTATTTGTGAGCAAACTGTAAGCGTTTATTAATCTCACTCTTAACAAAATTTTAGTTAAAATGTATTATGTAAGCAAAAATTTCCAAAGAAAATCTTAAAGTTCAGAAAACCATGATTGGTGAAGAGACTTATTTATCATATTATAAAAATTAAGTATTGTTTAGAATATCATGTGTCGTTTAAAAAGCTTGGATGTAATTACTTTACGGCTTTTAAAATATAACATGGATGTTTCAAGGTCCCTTTAACTTTGTCAGAAATAAAAAGATTTTATTATTTTAAAAGTAGTGTATTTCTAGTAACAGTCAAAAGTGGGCCAGTTTAATTCCCGTTACCTAGACAAGTAGAAGCAAAGACCACTCAGATCTTTGAAAAGATGAGAAACAAAGATAACGCTCTGAATAGATTTTTCTCTATCCCGCTTTAATAGATGAATGGTTTACTATAACATTGGGATCCTGGGAAAGGAGGGTTTACGCTGGGAGGTTGTTGGGACTTGGGGACTGGAAGAGGCACTCAGGATCTGCCTAGGTGTGAAGACTCCCTGGGGGTGGAGGTCGAGGGGTGGGGTTGGGGAGGTGTGTGTTTCATGTGATTTTCAAGATGAATAAATGGGTCTGGATTTAGTCACTACTTTTTAAAAGTCAGTCCTCTTTTTTCCGAACATCCTGATCTTTCTAGCTCTTTCCATTCTTCTCTCTTACAGACCTTTATCTTTCAATCTCCCAGACAGGACAGGTAGACAAGGTATTGCTGACTTTGAGAAAAATGTACTTTAACAAAGGGAAAGCAAAATGATGTCAAAGGCAATTAATTATTTAGGCCAGACTCAAAAATTCTTTGTGTTAATGAACCCATATAGTCCCTGTAGCTATTTTCCATTCTAGTTTCTTCTTGTAGTTATTCATCTTTTATTGGACTTAGTGTATTTTATTAGTATATCATTAATGTCATGTTTGTTCTGTTTTGTCTGCCTGCATTGTGAAGGAAAGTTTAAATTTTTTGTTCTTTTTTTAAAAACATTGTCATTTAACTGACAAATCACATTTGTAGAAATGACAATTTACTTTGTATATATAAATTAGAGTTTATTTTGAGCACCATATGGCAGAACCAATCTTAATTTAACTCTCACAGATACTTTTCCCTCATCTTTCTGAATTAGGATTCTATTAATAACATAAAATTTCCTGCTGGGTTTTGGAAGCTCTGAATTTAAAAACCAAAAGCTGAACCTTTAGAGATTTGGATACAAAGTGGGAACCCACAAAGGCTTACAACAGTGACTATTAAATAGTCCCTTTCCCCCCACTTAATGGTTTTCAGTTCCAAAGTCTTAACAGAATTGCTTTTACAGTTTTGACTGACAGGTGAATATTGAAAGTGGCCAGCAAAATAAGATCAGAAATTTTCTAAAATTGAACTAAATGCTTTAAAACATGAAATTAAATATATTGACCAAACTAAAATGGATTTCTACTGTAGCAAACTTCTGATATCTAAATATATCATAATATGACTCAATAAGATATTGTAAACCTTGAAAATTTTTGCAAATCATGTTGGAAAAAATTGGAAATGTTTTAAAATAGACTCCTAGCCCTACAAAACAATTTTCTCTGCTGTTTCCTGTGAATTTTTCACACCACAAATTACCTGTGTGAATTACTGTTAATCATTTCCTTGTAGAGATGATAATGAACAACTTTTTGTACAGAGCCATTTCAGGAAAAATGAAAATGTTTATATACCTCCATTTAAAGTTTCAAATGAAAATACTTTATTGAGTCTCATGCAGAGAAAAGACATATAAACTTAGGTTAGCCACTTAAGTAATTAGAAAAATGCTGCTGATAATTTGGCACCATTTTTTAGACACTAAATTATTGCTTTCTGGATGTGTTTAGAAAGCAGCACCGTACAGGTGGTTTTATAATTTCTTATCCTGAGTTTGTGGGCCTTGTATCATGAAGCTGGGGACACCACTTTTGAAGCCCAGATCTGTATTACCGTATCCCAGGAACAGAAAATGCATAATGGGTCTCATTTATTCCATTAATCTCAAATCACTGCCAGTTTCTACATTCCAGTCTTTAATTTATGTTAAATTGTTTTTTCTAGCATAGAACCATCAGTAACTTGGGTCTTATAACGTCTATCACTAAAACTACTGATTTGCTTTTTTTAAAAAAATCAAGTACTATTTTCAAAGAATAGAGAACAAGAAAAGTGGCCCTCAGATACAGATGTTGGAAAGTCCGCTTGTGAGTTGGCTCTGCCCCTCTGCCTTGACACGCCCAGTCACTCTCCCCTTCAGAGTTATGGTGAAGACCCTGAGGTCACGTGTAATGGTCAAAACTGTCTTAAATCCACAAATGACATCAGTCTGCTATATTTATTTCACACAGGTAAATCCTATGCTAGAAATTAAAACTATAATTTAAGATTACATAAAATTACTAGACGTGAAAGGTTTACAATTTTTAAATATTCTCATTTTGATAAAAATTTTCACAAAGTGCCATCATTCTTGCTCACTAGAGGACTGTCAGCAGCATTTCTAGTCTGTTTATAATTGCAGTTTTAAAACACTGCCTTTAAAGCAAAGAGCAAGCCTGTCCCCAGTTTAAAAGTTATTCTGCCTTAAATTCAGAAATTGAAATATTGACATTTTCCATTCTCCTCAAAACATGCTTTCAAAACCTGCCATTATTTTGTTAATGATTTTGAGTCTGAAACCATTTAATACTGTGTTTATTAATGTTGATGTTCTTTCACTTTGCTGTTAGGTCAAAATTATGAATTGTGCATATAGCAATTTCCAGCAGGATGGGTGGGTAAAGGTTTTAGTATGTAAAGATTATTCCAACTACCATCTTATTATGGTCTATTTCAAGCTTGAAAAAATATCTTAAGATGGTAGAATATTTTATGTGTTAGATGAAGTAAGTACCTAGGTTCTTTCCTTTTCCCTTGGAGAAAGCTAATCGCTTATTGCATGAGGAAAAGGGAGCCTTCAGATCCTTTGAATGAAATGTATTTTATAATGCTGCTTTTTCAGTTTTGCTTGCACACATTTTGTTTATTTTTGGGTCTGGCAATTAAAAAAAAATCAAAAATGAATCATATCCATCCATTACTATCTTTGTGATTAAGTGCTTGAAATTTCTGAGAGTATGTCTGTATAAGTCTTCTATCTGTTTGGCCTCATTTTGGTATACTTGCAGACTTCATTTTGTTTTCTTTCTCTTAATTCTGTTAATTTATTTAATCTCATGGGAGAGAAAACATGATCATTCTTTTATATACTGTACTTCATTCTTCCATCCAATTCATACTCTTAACTGCTTTGGATTCATGTATTTGTTTTTGTTAGTGAAGTTGCTGCAGTTTACCTGCCATGGTGGTGCTCGAGTATAACAGCTTAGATGGAAACAAGTTATTTCTCCAGTAGGGTTTCATTCTTTTTATTTCTGCTTTATGTCAACTGTGTAATCTTAAATATATAAGAACTATGCTGTACTGTCAAAAGGATCTTATTTTTACATTTTAAACTGTACATACTACTAAGAAGACAGGTAAACCTAATTTCTGTAAATTTCAGTGTTAAAAAAATTGTGTTAGTAAATGTTACCTTGTTTTGAGTATATCTAAAAAAACTCAGATGAAAATTCCTTTATACCTTTTTGTTAGCAAACTGATTTTCTAATGGCAAATGACCTCTTTTACATTTTATTCTTTAATAAAAATGTTTCAGACTTCACGTTCATGGAAGTCTGAAACTGAAATGTGTTTATAGCAGTTCTGGTGTTAACTATCTGAGTGACATGAAGTCTGTTATTTTTTAGAGTCTGAATTTTTGTGCATTAACAGCTCATTTAAGTGTCTACTTACTGATCAACAGTCCTTCTCATGTTTTTCTTTCCATTTTATATTCTACAGAATCTGATTTCTTAAAATGTTAGTTTAATTAAAACTTAATTGAAGTATACATTACAATTTTTAAGTTTTCTATCATTTAAATTTGTGACATACTACACAGAAGTATTGAACATGCTTGAGAAATAATTTGATTCTCTTAATTCATTTGCGTGTTCTGAGTAGTTACCACCCTTTGCATGTCTATGGCTTGCTGCTTATGTTTAGAGGAATTGTAGTTTGTTGACTTAGAAACTTTTTGGTTTTACATAATATGAATTTGGCACATATATGCTATTTAAATCGATTGCTATATTGACTTTATGTATTCTTATTAGCAGCCAACAGTCAACACCGTCTGGTCACAAAGAAACAACTTAATCTAATGAAATTTAACAAGATGCAGTTTTATTCTCTGGTTTAGCTGCTTATGGTACAGGGTATTATGGGGGAAGAAACTTTCTTTACAGTGACTTTTAATACTACAAAAATGTATTTTTACTACTTATAAATGTTAAGCATAGCATCCAGTAAAACAGATGGACACATACACACACATGCACGCCTACCTTTTCTCTTTTTCTCAATAATAAAAATCCTATAATAATCCATGCCTTTTAAAATATTTATAGTTAAATACTTTGTCAGTGCTTTACTATAGCCTACTTATAACTAGCACCTGGTATATAAATTCCAGAGTAGAAATAGGAGCAAGTTGCTTATTTAATTAGAAAAATTATAAAACCTTTTTACCTGGAAAGGTGATAACTATTTCCAGGTTGTCTGTTATTTTGTTAAATAATTTTTGTTCACTCGGAAAACAGTATACTTTCTAGTAAAAGGAAGAAAGCCTACAACATGGTAAAGCTGTTTGGATTAGAGTCTTCTCTGATTCTAAACCATTCTAAATTTTGGTAGCTAAACACTGAGCTTGAATATACCAAGTTGGCATGTGTGCTAAGTTGCTCAGTCGTGTCTGACTCTTTGCGACTCTGTGGACTGTAGCCGGCCAGGCTCCTGTGTCCACGGGATTCTCCAGGCAAGAATACTGGAGTGGGCTGCCATGCCCTCCTCCAGGGGATCTTCCCGACCCAGGGATCAGACCCATGTCTCTTGCATTGGCAGACGGGTTCTTTACCACTGACGCCACCTGGGAAGCCCAAATAATATTCATCTGTATCTCCAACATCTTTTGGGGGGCAGTTGGAGAGAAGTGGGGTATAACAAAAACTGCATTATTTCAGGTAGGTATAAATGTAGAGGTCAATCAAATTTTTAGTTATACATCAAAAACAACTAACCTCCATTAAATTATAAAAGTTGAATTCTCCGGCCCTATTTAGTCTTTAATTGGGTATGGAGTTTTTCATCCATATCACCCTTATCATTGCCTGTGTGGACCATATATATTATTAATACTGTTTTGCTGATTTTTCTATTATTTCCAATTCTGACTTGATAATCCATGGCTTTTATTTCATTGCTTAACAATGTTTGTATCCTTTATTCAGCTAATAGTTTACACTGGCCTATTTTGTATCAGTCAAGATTTTTCTCAGGTAACAGCTTTATTATTATTATTTTTTAATTAACAAAAGAGGTAGGATTACATTAGAGAAAAAACTAAATTACAAAAAGGGACATTAAAACTCATCTTTCTTATAACATGGACACTGTCTCATATATGAAATCTAAGCAAAGTGGAAGATTTGTTTTTGTTACTTAATTGCTTTTGTGCAAGATAATGTATGGTACTGAATTCCCATATGTTTGTTGGCTTTTTTATATAACCTGAATAAAAATTGATGAAATCTAATTAATATATAAATTAAACCTTAAAAACATAATGAAGAAAAGTGATGTATATGCATTTTTCTTATAATTTTAAGCATGTTTTCTCTCAAAATTTTTCACAATATAAATTGTCCTTCTAAGATGAAAGCCAGATATTGTACACTAATGGCATAGGAAATTGTTAAATTCATGTATTTATATATATCCTACCTTTTACATTTATGCTATTTCTTTCTCTAAATTTGTATATTATAAACTGAACATATGTTGAATCTACTTTATATGACAAAATATTTTTAATCATTATATTTTTACTAATGTATTGAAGGGTTGGATTGATCCTCTTCTTACAGTTTCATTTTTTGACAGAATCACTCTCTTTGGATTGAGGCTTCACTTTAAAAGCCTGATTTTGTTTTTTAATGTTCTAGAACTTTCCTAGAAAAGTTTAGAAGAACCTCTACAGTTGTAAAAAATAATTTTAAAAAGATGTATTGTATTAAAATGTTTTAAGGGTTTAGCCCTAAGAAACTAAACAAACATGATTTATTACTTTCAATTTTTATTTCACAGCATATATTAATAATAATTGACAGTTTAAAAGCAAAAACCCAAAATCTATCACAGTTGTTGCAAGAGGTGTCTAGTAATGAAAGTAATGTAAAATATGCTTCATGTTTATATCTTAAGTCAGTTAAATCAAGATAAAGGTGAAGATCTAGCTATGCAATTTAAATATTTTGTGTGATGTTTCCATAGTACAAGTTAATTTGTATTTAAATCTTTACATTGTTATCATTGCATGTATTCACTGTATTTTTTAATGTGTCAACTGTTTTCTCTTTATAGAGTAGTATTTCAAAGTAACCATTCCATACCAATTCCAACTACCATCTGGTCTCTAAGCTTGTTATATGAAAATCTTTTACCATTGTCCTCCAGTTTTAGTGTTTTTTGATGAGCTACACCTGAGTTGTTCATTTTCTTTTTCTTTTATTTGCTTCTGTATACAGGCTGGCTTAGCAGGAGCTCCAGCCCGTGCTGTATCAGCTGTAAAGAATATGAATCTTCCTGAGATCCCAAGAAATATTAACATTGGTGACATCAGTATAAAAGTGCCAAACCTGCCCTCTTTTAAATAAAAAATTAAAAAGGCCACTCCCAGGTAAAATCCAGGGGAAAAAGTCATCTAAGTTTACCATGCAGTTGTTTACCAAAAATAAAGGAGGAGAGTCTTAACTTTTACTCTTGGATTTAAGTCAAGGTACTGTATAGACATTATATAAAATCAGTATGGAAGTTCAATGTTGCTTTTCTTGCTCAGTGGTTTTGAAGAAATTAAGTAGTTCCAGTGTGATTTTTTTTCTTTATTTTCTAAACTGCAATCCTGTGGCCACCTAAGGCATGCCTGTATGTATTGGCTATTACAGTATTTCAAAAAGTGTTCAGGACATTTCTTTCAATTGTGTACAACCCAAAATGTTGGTGTTTTGTATGGATCACAAGTGCAGCATTCCTTAATAATTTCTGTTATTTGTCACAATTGTTATTTAAAGAACGAAGTGTGTATTGCATGAAAACCTTATGACCTGTTTCTCTTAGTTTAAATAAACTCCAAGGTAACCGGACTTATAAAGAACCGTTCTGTTTGTCTGATATCTACTTTAGCAATAATTTTTTTTACGACCCTCTGACTCAACAAAGTAAATAAAAGTATATTTTATCACTGTTAAGCAGCTGTTAATGTTGATTTATTTAATTTATATTTTTAACATTCAGAAACTCATTATTATAAAATTAAATTATTTCACAAGTCAAGAGCAGTGTATCATGTAATTTGCCCACATTTTCATATTTAGTCTTATCTTGTGATCCATGAGTGGAGTTCCTCTTCCAGTTAGACTAAGGTTTTCTCTGTAGTTCTGGTCCTATCTCCCTAAATGTTCTTTTTTGAAACATTTCCTTAGATGTATGTCATGTATGAATTTTACTCCAAGGTCTAGGGTATAAGAAAAGTCACTATTTCTTTTTAAATAAAATTAATCTGACTCTAAGCCCCATCCAGGAAATCCAGTCTGTGATTATTGGGATTTCCATCGGTTCAGAGGTGGATCAAAGTTCTAGAAGAAGGTTATGCAAAGCAGAACATGCAGGGAAGTCCCTGCTCTCAGTCATTCGACAGATGTTTTAGTCATTTGACAAATGTGCCAGGTTAACAAGTCCCTGTCCTAATGAAGCTCTATACAGTACCACACAAGCGCGTTTGGCAATATGTATTTTTTCTCTTTTTCATTTTTCTGGGTGAGAGGTGTGAATTATAGAAAAGTTTAAGTTTTTGTTTGGTTACAATGTACCAAAATTAGGGAAACTTCTGGGCCAGATTATACTTTAACCTAAGTAGTGGAAAGGGTTTTATCTCTCACTATATTCTAGTATGAGAAAGAAACCCAGTCATGTGCAAATGACAAAAATAAGCAAGTCATAGAAAACTAAATCTCAGCGATCACTTAATATGTAAAGATGCTTAATCTCACTGGTAACCTAGGGAATGCAAGTTTAAAGAACAATTACTTTCACTTGTCATGGGTTTCCCTGGTGGCTCAGACAGTAAAGAATCTGCCTGTGATCTAGGAGGCATGAGTTCGATCCCTAGGTCGGGAAGATCCCCTGGAGAAGGGAGTGGCAGCCCACTCCAGTGTTCTTGCCTGGAGAATTCCATGGACAGAGGAGCCTGGTGGCCACAGTCCATGGGGTCGCACAGAGTCGGACACGGCTGAGCCACTTCATTTTCACTTCTGTCATACTAGCAAAAATTAGGAGGGGTGACAATATCCAGTGCTGGAGAGGATGTGAGGAATGAGAACTGTCAGATATTGCTGGTGGGAATGTAATTTATGGTAACTCTAAAAAAATAATAATATGCTAAGTTCTGTGAAAATTTTTAAAAATTAAAAACACACATATCATACATACCCTGTGACTCACTTTGGAGACTCTGTTCTCTTAGCATTCCTGGATATCTTTATATACAAAGGTGATTATTTCATCACCTTTTTAAAGCAAAATAATTATAATAATAAACTGGAAATATCTTCAGTGCCCACCAGTAAGGAAATGGTTGAATAAATAATGGTAACTATCATACTAGGTATAATAGCAAAAGCCTGGAGAGACCCAAATGTCCTTTATAAGGAGACTGATTGAGAAGTTGGATTGCATCCACATTATGGTGTCTTACGGAGTTATCAAAATGAGATATCCCTCTATAGTGCTAAACACTGATAAAATTGATTCCTAGAAAATATAATGTTAAGTGAGAAAAATCAAGATAAAAAGAAGAGTATTTGTATCTGTGGTATGTGTATCAGTTAGGGTTCTCTGGAACCAGTAGGACGTGAGTGTGTGTATATGTGTGTGTAATAGGTTGACATTTTATCAGCAGACTGAGTAAAGCATATTGCACTCCCTAATGTGAACAGGCCTCACCCAATGAGTTGAAAGCATGAACAGAATGAAAAAGCTGCCTCTTCATTCCTCCTGCTTACTGCCTTCAGACTGGGACAGTGGCTTTTTTCTGCCTTCAGAGTTGCAATAAAACAGGGGTTCATCCTGGGTCTCAGTCCTGCCAGCTCTCAGACTGGAGCTCCACCTTAGCCTCTCTGGGTCTCCAGTTATCGACTCACCCTGTGGATCGTGGGGCTTACAAGGAACGGGGCTCATGTGGGCCGTTTCCTTGTGATACAGATCTTTAAATAAAATCATCATGTTGCTGATCATTTTTAAGTGCGAAGGCAAGAAAAGAAGAAGGCTGATGTCCTGGCTTGAAGGCAGTCTGCCAGGAGCAATGAAGAAGATCAGTCTATTCATGCTTTCAGCTGTTTGGGTGAGGCCCATTCACACAAGGGAGGGCAATACACTTTACTCAGTTTACTGATTTAAATGTTAATCTCAACCAAAAACACCCTCACAGAAATACCCAGAATGTTTGACCAAATGTCTGGGAAACCCCAAGACCCAATTAAACTGACATAAAATTATCCATCACGGTATGCTATCAGTTACCCAAGAAAAAGGGAGAATGAGTGGTGTGTGTGTACTTTTAAATGAAAGGACACACACATACACAGTGAGAAGGACAAACGGCAGAGGCGTGGACTTCTTGAAGTGTATCTTGTTTTGAAACCATGTAAATGTTTTATGTAGTTAGTAATCAAACTTAAATTTTTAAACCCCCAAAAATTAAAAGCAAAGCAAATAAATTGAACTGTGTGATGAGTTGGTGGCATGCGTGCGTTGCTCAGGCACTTAAGTCGTGTGCAACTGCGACCCCGTGGACCGTAGCCCATCAGGCTCCTCTGTCCATGGAATTTCCCAGGCAAGAGTACCAGAGTGAGTTGCCATTTCCTCCTTCGGGGGATCTTCCTAACCCAGAGGTCAAACTGCATCTCCAGGGGATCTTCTTAACCCAGAGGTCAAAGACGCCGTCTCCTGCATCTCCTGTGTCTCCTGCTTTGGCAGAAGGATTCTTCACCACTAAACCACCTGGGAAGCCTGACCCCAAAGGGCAACTTTAAAACTCTTAATACCCTGAAAGACAAAAAGACCTGCCCTGCCTGCCTCCGAAATTAACTTGTTTTCTTTAACCCTGGTATCTGTGATATTTTAGCATTCCAAGGGGGCTGTGCAGGGGGATGGTGCGGTAGAACGGGAGAAAGTGCCTCAGTGCCAGAAGCGGCGCCTTGGCGTGCCTTCTGCAGGACTAAAGCACGCACCTCCTCAGCTGCTGGCCACGTGAGTGATGGAGGGCACTCTGCTGGTTGCTGAGGATTGCCGCCAGCTGAAGGGAGCCACCTCACCTCAAGTCGTGACTCCTCTCCAGAGACATCCTCCAGCCACGTTATAAAAGTGCAGTCCACTTGGCTAAGGCAGGACAGCCCCAGCTCCAGCGCTGCCCATGGGATCAGCTCCAGCCTTTGTCGGGACTGCACTGCCACTTAACTCTTCCCTCTGGCTCATCCTACTTCCTTGAGACTTCAGGCTTTGATCCCAGTGATTGGCTGGCATGCAAATCTCTCTCAGTCTGGTTTTCAGCAAATTATAGCCTAGAATGATCTGAGGAAGCACATTCTGAAACGAGGTTTTGAAACGTGACTGCCTCCTGGCAGGCTAGCGTTAGAAGACCTATTACTGACAGCAAGTGGAGCGAGGCTCACCAGTAGTGTGCCGCAGCAGTGTAAGTGTTGACACTGTCACAGGTGGTGAGCTGAGCGTGCCCTGGTGGGGGCAGTGTCTCAGGCCTTTGAGAAATGCATGAGAGCTAGTAACTGTGAAGAGTATGGAATTGGATGACTGTTATTCCAGGCCATCAATCCATTAGTGAAATACTGAGTGTGATTAATTACTAATTAAAGGCTATTTGTTTAGAGCAGGTTCAAAATTGGGAAGGAAGTACATCAAGGCTGTATATTGTCACCCCACTTATTTAACTTACATGCAGAGTACATAATGTGAAATGCTGGGCTGGAAGAAGCACAAGCTGGAATCAAAATTGCAGGGAGAAATATCAATAACCTCAGATACGCAGATGACACCACCCTTCAACAAAGAGGAAGTAAAGAGCCTCTTGATGAAGGTGAAAGACGAGAGTGACAAAACTGGCTTAAAACTCAGTGTTCAAAAAAACAAAGATCATGGCATCCAGTCCCAGCACTTCATGGTAAATGGGAAACAGTGGAAACAGTGAGAGACTTTATATTTTTTGCTCCAAAATCACTGCAGATGGTGACTGCAGCCATGAAATTAAAAGACGCTTACTCCTTGGAAGAAAAGCAATGACAAACCTAGACAGTGTATTAAAAAGCAGAGACATTACTTTGCTGACAAAGATCTATATAGTCAAAGCTATGGTTTTTCCAGTAGTCATGTATGGATGTGAGAGCTGGACAAGAAAAAAGGCTGAGCACGGAAAAATTGACGCTTTTGAACTGTGGTGTTGGAGAAGACTCTTGAGAGTCCATTGGACTGCAAGGAGATCCAACCAGTCCATCCTAAAGAAAATGGGTCCTGAATATTCATTGGAAGGACTAATGTTGAAGCTGGAGCTCCAATACTTGGCTGCCCGATGCGAAGGAGCTCACTCCTTAGAAAAGACCCTGATGCTGGGAAAGATTTTGGGCAGGAGGAGAAGGGGGGCTGAGTGACTGAACAACAACAGTGAAAAGCAGAAGGCCTTCTTAACAGCCTATAAAAGTACTTTCATCTCTGTTCAGCTGGATGACAGAAAAAGCTAAGCATCAGGCCCAGACTTAGCTGTAAGATAGGCGAAGTTCAAGGGAAGACTGGATTCCAGGCTCATCATGTCTGCTAAGCCAAGGTCAAGGACAAAAATCTTAGATACAGACCCACAGAAGTAGCCCACTTCTTCCCATTAAGCTGCCACTCACTCGTGTCCTTGTTGAAGAAGATGCAGAAGCATCTACCTCGCAGGGTAAGATGAAACCTCCTTAGGATTTGCCTCCCTTGCTTGATCACCAAGCCAATAACTAGGGTCAAGACACAGCATAGTCAGGCCAGGGAAGTGCTAGGTCTGCCAAAGTTGTTGCACAACCTTGCCAAAGTAAACCTGGGAGAGCCAAGAGAGTCTGTTAATATATGGACGTGGGTCACGAGGCTTCTGGCTTAAGGTGGAAGGAACATAAAGTTGGACGAGGGAGAGAGTTTTATATGTGAGCTC